TTAGAATAGGTTTTTCATTAAACGTCAAGTCAGGATTAACCTCAATAGATTTGATCGGAAGAACATGAGATGGATCAGAACGATATCTTCTAAGCATAGAAACATGGAAGACATTGTGAATCTTGTCTAACTCAGGTGGCAAAGCCAATTTATATGCAACTGGTCCAATGCTTTCAAGTATCTCATAAGGTCCAATAAATCGGGGACTAAGCTTTCCTTTCTAGCCAAATCTCATAATCTTTTTCCATGGAGACACATTTAAGAATACTTTATCTCCAACTTTATATTCAATGTCACGCCTTTTAAGATCAGCCTACCACTTTTGTCTATCTGAAGAAATATTTAGACAGTCTTTGATAATTTGTACCTTGTCCTCTATTTGTTGCACAATTTAAGAACCAACAAGTTTTCTTTCACCAAGTTCACTCCAATAAAGAGGGGTCCGGCATTTTCTTTCGTATAACGCTACATAGGGAGGCATAACAATACTCGATTGGTAACTGTTATTGTAAGCAAATTCAATCAAAGCCAAGTGTGTGTCCCAACTACCCTCAAACTCCATAATGCAAACTCGAAACATATCCTCCAAAATTTGTATCACTCTTTCCAATTGGCCATCTATTTGAGGATGGAACGAAGTGCTAAATTTCAACTTAGTACCCAAAACTTCCTGCAAGCTGCCCAAAAATCTAGATGTAAACCTTGGATCTCGATCAGATACAATAGATACAGGTATCCCATGTACTCTTACAATCTCATTAATGTACAATTCGGCTAAATACTCAAGTGAGTAATCCATCCTGATTGCTAAGAAGTGAGCACTCTTGGTTCACCTGTCCACAATCACCCATATTGCGTCATGGTTCCTTTGACTGCGAGGAAGTCCTGAAATAAAGTCCATTGTTATTCTCTCCCATTTCCATTCCGGCATCGACAAGGGCTGTAGTAAACTTACTTGGACTTGATGTTATGCCTTTACTTGTTGACAATCCAAACATTTAGAGATAAACTCCACAATGTCTCTATTCATACCATACCACTAATAATTTTCTTTGATAGTCTGGTACATCTTTGTACCTCCACGATGCATTGCATATGATGTAGTATATGCTTCATTCAATATTTCTCTCCTCAATTTATCATCATTAGGGACGTATAACCTGTTTTGATAAAATAAACCACCATCCTCAGTAAATGTAAAATCAAGTTTTTTCCCACTTTGAACTTCTCTGGTCAATTTTACAAGTTTCTCATGTAAGTTTTGTGCTTCTTTCACTTGTTCAAGTAATATTGGCTTTACTTAAAAATAAGCAATAAATGAACCATTTGAATCAAGTGTAAAACAAACACTCAAGGCTCTTAACTCAAGGAGCAAGGGTAAAGGACTCAAAGAAATGCTTGCGAATGATTTCTGACTTAAGGCATCTGCAACCACATTGGCTTTACCTGGATGATAATCAATCGTGCAGTCATAATCCTTGATGAGTTCAAGCCATCTACGTTGGCGAAGGTTTAGCTCCTTTTGAGTACCCAAGTACTTGAAGCTCTTGTGATCAGTCAATATATGACATTTCTCTCCATACAAATAATGCCGCCATATTTTTAAAACAAACACTATAACAGAAAGTTCAAGATCATGAGTAGGATAATTCAATTCATGATATTTTAATTTTTGAGAGGCATAAGAAACAACCTTCCCTTCTTGCATCAAAACGCATCCTTGACCATTGTGAGAAACATTACTGTAAACTACATATTCTTTCCCTTTAATAGGTAGAGTAAGTATATGAGCTTGAGTTAACAAGGATTTGAGAGTTTCAAAGCGCTCTTGACAATTGTCATCCCAAATAAACTTTACTTCCTTATGCAAGAGCTTAGTCAAAGGGAAGGCGATAATCGAGAGGCCTTTCACAAATCTTCTATAATATCCTGCTAAGCCGAAAAACTTCTTACTTCGGTTGGACTGTTAGGAAGTCTCCATTCAACAACCGCTTGTATCTTACTAGGATCCACCTTCACACCTTCTGTTGATACAACATGTCCCAACAAAGCTACTTCATCAAGCAAAAATTCACACTTGGAAAGTTTAGCATAAAGCTCTTTCTCCCTCAAAATTTGCAAAATAATCCGGAGGTGTTTATTATGGTGTTCATTACTTCTGGAAAATATTAAAATATCATCTATAAAAACAACCACAAACTGATCAAGATAAGGTTTGAATACTCGATTCATTAGATCCAAAAATACCGCAGGAGCATTTGTCAATCGAATGGCATCGCCAAAAATTCTTAATGACCATACTGAGTTCTAAAAGCAATGTTACGAATATTATTCTCTCTAACACGCAGTTGGTGATATCCAGACCTTAAATCAATTTTTGAGAATACTTTAGCAGCCTTAAGTTGGTCAAACAAATCATCGATCCTTGGCAGCGGATATCTATTCTTGATTGTTATTTTGTTCAATTGTCTATAGTCAGTACAAAGCCTAAGAGTGCCATCTTTCTTCTTTACAAATAAAACAGGGGCTCCCCAAGGAGAAAAATTAGGTCGAATAAAACCTTTCTCAAGACGTTCTTGCAGTTGAGATTTCAGTTCTCTTAATTTTGCTGGAGCCATTCTATAAGGAGTGATAGAAATAGGGGTAGATCCATGGTTAATCTAGATTGGAAATTCAACCTATCTTTTCGGGGGCAATCCCGAAAGGTTTTCTGGAAATACTTCTGGAAACTGACATACAGTAGGTATGTCTTTGATACAAGGACACTTCAATTGTATATCAACTATGTGAGCCAGGTATGCCCCACAACCTTGACGCATCAACTTTCTTTCCAAGTCTGCAGAAATAATATTAGATGTCACTGATCTTTCCCTTTGTACAATGATGTGTGAAAATATAGGATCTTTAAAAGTCACATGCTTAGACCTACAATCTACCACCACATGATATTTATAAAGCCAATCCATCAGGATAATAACATCAAAATCCTTGAAGGGCATTTCATGAAATCAGTAGGAAAGACTAGGTTTTGAATCACAAAGAGACAATCTTGATAAACTCTATTACACACAACTTGATAACCCAAAGGACTTTCAACTAGCACATTATCATCAAGTCTGACAAATTTCATATTTTTGGGAAGAACAATTGATGTAAAGATATAGGAATGTGTAGAACCAGGATCAAACAATGTAAACACACATAAGCCAAATAGGTTAAATTTACCAATAACCACGTCTTGTCCCTCTTGACCATCCTTCTGCCTCATCGCATAAGCGCGTGGAGTAGCCTTTTGCCTACTAGATTGATTAACTCCACTTGTACCTGCTGCCTAGGTATTTTTAGGTCTTGCACCTCTATTAGTTTGAGGAGGATTAACAGAAGGTTTATGAACCGAGCCTTCAGTTTTAAAGGAATGAGCATTACTAGGATTAGGACAATCTTTCAATATAAGATCAAAGCTCCCACAATTGAAACATGCACCAGAAGGTCCCCTGCAAGTGTCATAATTATTCTTTCCACATTGTGGACAAGTAAAACGC